TCCTTCTACATAGTATTACATCATTTGGTAGAGCTATCTGTGTTTTCAGAAGTTGCAAAGTACTTTGAATCTCAGGATGAAAAATGCTGCAAGTATGTAATGATTACACTTGGGGAATAAACACTCCTGTGATTAATGTAGGAATATTCACAGTGTGATGACAAAGAGAGATTCAAGTTCGCTACAAGTGAACTAACTGGATATTTAACGGCATTGTATATTAGCTATATCCGTACGTTGGCTAATAGTATCCCTATTAACATAGGGATACTCTTTCTGCTGCATTAAGGTAAGTTTAATCTTAGCACAGGCATTACCCCACTGCATAGCGTAGTCTAGACAATCCCAAAGAATCCAAGAGCTCCAAGATCTCTTCTTGTCTCTGCTACAGAAACCATTACTTTTCAAGTCCGAGTGTATGGATTTATATACTTAGAAGACTGCTTTCAAAATGGAGCACAAAGCTTTGTTACTATTAACAGCAACAGGGAGCAAGCTGCTTCTACAACTCCAAACACTGCGACACACTGAAACATTTCAGTACCAGATTGATCTACCTGGCCTTTATATGCTGTACTAGACACCAAAATACGCAACTAGAAAATTGCTGAACTCATTTCACATCTCTCAGACCTCCATTTTCTCTGGTGATATATACATTCGTGTGGTAATGTGTACTGTCATAACTTTAGCCATTTAAAAAAAACAACTGTGGCAGACTCAAATGAGAATCATGGTTACTTGCCAAAATATGAAAGCTGGTTTTTTTAAGCTGTAATTAGATAGAATCCATTACCATAACAAGCTGCAAAGGGCAGTACTCAAAAGGCACTAACATTCATACTGAGTAGTACCAAGAATATAAACAACTGCAGAAATATTAAAACTTCTGTTTCAAACCAAAGCCTTTCTCTGTAAGATGAGGATAAGATATAGCATCACACACACATTGCTCTGCCTGCCTGATCAAGCTTTGTTATAACCTTCTCTGGAGTGTCCTGTACAAAATCCCATCAGAAATCAACATTCTAATCCAGAAACACTTCAAATAATTCTAATATACCAGCAGATTTCAAACTATATCCCTCAGATCATTAGGCACACCAACATCAGCACTTTGTCAATAAACAGCTAGTGCTTCCCACTGCTATCATTGAAGAAACTGTTTAAGAAAGCAATTACCCAGAGGAGTCTTACCGTTATCTTGCCCACACCTTTAGCTCCAGAAAATTACATTCCTTAGTATCATCAGCATTCCCTTTCCGCATGCAACACTGCTGAGTAACTACAGGACATTATAAAAAAACCCAAACACAAATGTTCAAACAAGCCACCCACTTTCATTTGAGAGCAAAACTAGAAAAGAATATAAGATTACTAAATCAGATCTTGAAACAGAAGGCTGCATCTAATAAATACACATTGGCAGACTTCTGACAGATGGATCTCCCGCTGTTCCAATATAAGAAGTTGTATTTACAAAGAACAAACAAGCATTCATAGATACATCATAGAGCTCAAACTCTCTCTTCCATCTCCTGAAAAAACCTACATAAATTTTTGGAACAAATCTACTGAAAAATTGAACCTCCTAATTTTATCTCAACAGAATCTGTTTAAAAATAATCAATAAAAATGTGCTACCTTTCTAGAACTTCTAAGTACACAGACCAAAACATGTACTATACTAGCCAAAAAATAATCCTGCTTACCCAGCATATTTAAACCAATCTATATTTTTCTTTCTCTAAATGGCATTTATCCATAAAGCTAGCAATATGAGTATGAGTTGGCACAGGTTCTATGTGCATACTAGCACACATATTTCATACCTCAACAGCAATTCTTCAGGGCTGCAATGACTTCACTATCCCAGTAGTAATCAGTTTTGTACCTATCTTTTAATACAATTCTGTATTTCCCACTTTCAGATGAGAGAATTACAATCATGAAGAAACAAAACAAGCTAGAACACAGCCCAGGCAAGAAATGTTCAACATTTCAAACATTCCTCCCTATCTACTAAGCAGTATCTAGAAGTGGTAAACACAGTGACAGATATTTAAGTCTTAGCAACTTTCAGAACATTTTAACTGTTCTTAACAGATCATGTACTTCTGCACAATTCCTAACCTGTTTGATGACTTAGCACAAAGCAACAATCCCTATATCCTACTTTATTAATAACCAATATTATAATCTACAAGATTGCACTGTTTCCCTTTTCTACCCAGTCTTTAAATCAATACTTAAGCTGCACAGTTGAGCATTCAAACCAGGAAGTCTGAATGACTGTGGTCCACAGAAGCTTTATTCAGCCTCTCTGTGCACAGATCTTCTGACAGGGTCTTTAATTACTTAAGTAATTAAAGATTCCAGCCAGAGTCCCCAACACTCAAGACAATAGGATGGATAAGCAGGGCGTGGAACTACCAAAGCCATTTGTAAGAATTTGTTTCATTTGTTACAGATTTTAGAAAGATGTTGACATAAAAGGACAGAAATGATATCATAAGCTTCTGTCTCACAAAACTGAATACTGGGGTTTGAAATTTTGATGGATTTTTTTATTTCCCCATTAGCATTCTAGCTGGCTTAAGCACATCCCTTTCACAGGTGTTTGCTAACTCTACTGTTCCTCATTTTCTAGGTGAGTGGTCTGAGAAACACAGGCAAAAAATGCCAACATGCAAAAAAGCTCAGTACTTGGCTACTCTTGATACTGGCAAGAAGCACATTCTGAAGTATTTAACTACTCAAAATGCAAAATTACTTGGAATGAGCCACAGTAGACATTTCACATTGGTTAAGTCTGGACATAACCTGGGCTTTAACTCCTTAGCTGTCAATAAGGTATAAAAATACCCCTCCAGTATGCTACGAAGACTCCACTGCTACAGCCTGGACACCACAGAAAACCCCACAATTGGTTGCAGAAGTGTTTTAAAAATTAGCACCAAAGAAGTACACAACTACATACCAAACATAAATTTTAACCATACCTCCTTTAATAAACACCTTCAGGCCCATACAAGACATGAAACACAAGATACTCAGGAAATAGACTTGTCGAAGAAGAGACTCCATCAGTATGGACACACATACGGAGCCAAATTAAAGACCTCATAGGCAACCCTAAACATGGCTCATCCCAGGTTGAAATCCTGGTTGCTACAATCTTTATAGTTAAATATGTGTATCTAAATATATATTTAGATAATAATTTATTCTCATAATTTGCTATAAATAAAATTAAATGAGAGATTTTCCATCAAACCCATTTTCAAAGGAACTGTCATTGACTGGTTATTAAGAAAAATCACTAAGGAAATGGCTTACTTACATACTTAGGCAACACACAAAAAAGAACAGATTGTTTTGACATAAGTTGACACAAATGCACACAACTCCCTTCTTACATTCATCAGAATTGTCTTTGGAGTCCAAAATCAAAAACTTTTAGCAGAATGCATGTGCTTTACATCCCAGATGTGACTATACAGTGACAATATAAAATTTCAAGTTATTTTCTTGTATAATAAAAAAGCTGTAAAAGTAAACCAGAGCTGAAGTCTAGATGGCACATAGCAGTGCTAGTCAAGGATACAGCTATATTAAAACATTTCCTTCACCTGAGATACTTTACCCTGCATACAGCTTCTGACAGCCATGGGACTCAAATCTTTCTTTACACTGTGTAGACTTAGCCAGCATAAGTAACAACTGATGAAAGGTCTTCTAGAACTCATCATATCTTGCAAATGGTATGCAAAGACATTCAGCAACCTAAAGTATCTTTCAAGCAAAATAATTGACTGTGCTTCTCTTTAACATAGTTGAATAAATTTAGCTGACAGCATCTTTTTTTTTTTTTTAAGAAGACTAACAAGTACATATTCAAGACTTGAAAATAAGAATCTATTCCTTGATAAAAGGTACTGATATATATAGAAAATCAGTATCAACTCTTCTGTAGTTGTGTTTCTCTCACTGATCATTTATATTGCTTGCTGTTTGGGTTTTGGGGGGTTTGGTAGGGTTTTTTCATGTTCTGAGCTGCAGCTACTTTATGAGCAGGTATCTTAATCTTTCTCCTTCCCATTCTGACTTCCTTTGTCATTCTATCCTTTACTCACAATGATTCCTACTGCAAAGTTTACAGGCAACTGATTATATTTTACTTCACCTACAATATCTACACATTGTGTAAACTGCATGATCTGCATACACAGATTTTTAAGTAACATACACTCTTTAAATAAGGAAACATCGCAAATGTGTACATTTTCCTTTTGAGGAATTAAATCTTTCAGTGCAAGGCTAGTTAAATCAGATATTTCTATTTAACAGTGTTTCAGTGCTCTCAAGTAAAACTTGGAGATAATAAATGTTAAGTGACATATAAGAAGTACCCTGGCAAGTTTAATGGTTTTCCCTTTCCCCTTTAATACTTAGCACTCCTTTGCTATTGTGATTTTAAACAAAAATAAGTAAGAGTAGATAAACACTTCTCCAGTTAGCTGTTCTTTTAACGTTTCTTCTTTGGTCATCCATGTTTACCTTCATCTGTTATATTCAAAATGTTAGGGTAGAGCTTTCAGTGCTGATTCTAAAATCAGACTGAACATTTAGCATTGTACAAACCTAAAAAAGAATACACAAAAGTGTTTTAAAGAGTCTCTTTTCCAAGAAGAATGTTCAACAAAATTCCCAGTTTCTCCATTTCTCTTCTTCTGGTCCCACTTGTAATTCATTGTCAAATAATACTTACAACTTTTCCCTTTAAAACACATTTTTCTTTTATTTTGCATTTGCTATCAGTTTGGGAATTTTCAACTATCAAGTATGTTCACTTAATTCACTTCAAGTGTTTTACTATGACAGCAAAAGGAGAACAAGAACTGCTCTGTGCTAATAGTGTGGTTTTCAGCAGGCTTAGAGACTAAAAATTTCCAGAAATAAATACCACTGTTCTAAAACAACAACTTAATCCTACAAACCTGTTTAAATTTTCCTCTGATTTTTTCCAGATCTTCTTGCAGCTTATCGTAAGTAGGGTCTTCATATGGGAATTTCTGAATCATCCTTATTAAGGAATCCAGAGCCCTTATCTTTTTGCTATAAAAGATCAAAACACAAAATACAATGAGCCTACTGCAGAAAATCTTCCAATCTATCAATTTGAAAATTATATCAATACTTATATATAATTCAGTGTGTAGAACTCAGCCCTCCATCCTCTTTACTTCAAATTCCATCCTTCCCTACTTCAAATTCTCCCATTTAGCTCACTGAGAGTGTGTATTTGATAGATATTTAAGCCATAATCAGAAATTCAGCTGTAGCACAACTGACAGTCAAAGCTTCCCTTTTAACTTAACTGCTAAAAGTTGAGAAATATTGAAGAATCTTCAGAAATACTGATTAGATGACAGAGCAAACTAAGGAAACCAATAAAAAAGCTCACCAGAACACATCAAAACAGCTGGCATATGGTGGCAATTCTGTCAGATAAATTAATCAACAGAGGATAGGAAAAAAATACAAAGACAAGAATGAAAGTAATACAAAAATGTAGGCTGAAAGGGACAGCTGAAGCCATCTTGTCCGCCTTCTACAGAAGCTGGCCCAAATTCAAAGCTAGATAAGGCTGCTCAGGGCTACCTCCAAGCAGATTCTGAAAAGCTACAAACATGGGGCTTCTAGAGTCTCTTCGTACAACTTGTCCCAGTGCTCAGCTGCTTGCATTAGAAAGGGCCTTCTCCTTATGCCCCATGAGAACTTGTTCCAAATGATGAAAGTTGCCTATTTTCCTGTATAATTCCGTAAGGAACGTGCCTCCACCTTACCTAGAATTTCCCCTTCTGTGGTACCACTAGGTACCTCCCTTATCTTCTTTTCTGCAGGCTGACGAAACCAAGGTCCCTTATCCTCTTTTCAGTACCACATGCTCCAGCATATTACACCACCCTAGGGCCCTCTGCTCACCCTTCTTCTAGTTTTTCAGCATTTCTTTTGTACTGAGCAAGAAGCAAAGCTGGACACCATAATTTGAAACAGTATTAAAGAACAGTAAATCTTTTTCTTCAGCCTTACCTGTTCTTTTCATCTCTGCGTTTCTGGAGCAGACACTGCCATGTCAGTGCAAACCCAAGGTAGTAGCCAGTCTGAATGCCAGGAGGGAAAATATACATATGTGGTATAAACAGTATATATATATACAGTATATATAGTCAAACAGAAATAAAGCACTACATTGTATCCCTTTCTTCAGGAAACAAATCACTGGATACACTGGATTCCTGTTTCTATGCTAGGAAGTTCAATAAATTAGGGTGAAATAAATGAAGGCTACCTGTGTTACAGACACTGAAAACTTCTTGTAAGGATCTGTTCAGTAACAAAGGATAATAAATGATAAAATTGGTAGTGTTCAATAATCCCTTATCCATATTATTAATCAATTATTATCAATAATAAATGATAAAATTGGTAGTGTTCAGGGCCAGGCTGGATGGGGCTCGGAGCAACCTGGTCTAGTGGAAGGTGTCCCTGCCTATAGCACGGGGCTGGAACTGGATGAGCGTGAAGATCCCTTCCAACCCAAACCAGTCTGTGATTCTGTGAAACCTGGACATACAAGACAAGTTAAGGTCATTCACCAGCACTCTCCAGTCCTTTCATTTCTAGGAAGGCTTACCGATTCAGTGTGTGTGCCAACACACAGGACAGACTCCCGTGTTCTAAACAATAACAGTGCCTCAACCAATCAACTCTCCCACTATCAGAAATAACAAAAAGTGTAACAGAGACACCAGAACTGCCCCTTGATGGCTCTCCATTCAACATTCCATGTTTTTCTCTAATGCTGAGCCACAGGAGACAGTACCGGAGTGCCTTCAGCCACAGTTTTGGGTTACAGAAATAATTGTATAGTCCATTCTAACTTTTTTCTGAGCAAGCTTATTTGAATTTGTTTCTTCTTTATCCTCCCTCTCAAAACAAAATATAATTAAAATTCCATCTAGAAAATAAGTTCAGAAAACATAAACTCACCCATTTAACTGTTCAGATCAAAACACCACCTTCAGACTAGCTTTATGGGGCCTCTTAGACACAAAGCAGTGTGACATAGCAGGTGTTAGTATACCAAAATATGGAACTTTGTCTAACAGTTTCTGCAGTACAGTAATTTTCTAATGACAAAAACATTGTGATTCTCACTGTGATTCTGAAGTATTTTCCCATTTACCTCAGACCCCATCTTGGCACCATGGAGTGATCCGTATCTCCTTCCCTCAACAACTCCAACATGACTGCCTTCAGCATACCCCTCCTGATACCCTTCACCATGAAACCTGTGAAGACAGAAGGACAACTTTTCTTATCAGCCACTTTCATAGCAAAGTCACAGTGCATACAAGCAACTCCCAGGAATAACACCATGCAAAAAAAAAAAAAAAAAAAAAAAAACTAAAAGAAAAAAAACAAAACCACCTCCAAAATGCAACTACCCATATTCAGACACATAATATTGGTTTAAATTAAGATTCAGTTACACATTCTGTGTTCTTTCCAAACATGTTTATAACAATTTGCCAAGAACAATAAACTCCACAGTGCAGATCAACACTTTCAACAAAATAACACTGCAAACTACAAGCTCTCAATTCTGGTTCAAGTTTCCACATGGTGGAAGAGCCCAGATTGTGCACGTCGATCACTCAGCAACAGCAAAGAGGAGAATTTTGGCTTAGGAATGCAGGTAGTGGGGACGTGGTGGCACTGAAATGCCACACACCTGTGGTGAGCTCAGCTTCTATCCCTTGGCACTGAACAGGCTCCACATGCAGATGCAGAACCAGGAGGGTGGTTGGACTTGATGATCATGAAGGTCTTTTCCAACCCAGTTGATTCTATGATTTTAATTTCCCCCACTCTTCTCCTTCCTCACCCCCTCCCTGGACTCATTATGGAATCACAGAATCAACCAGGTTGGAAAAGAACTTTAAGATCACTAAGCCCAACTGTTCCCCAGAACTGCCAAGGCCACCACTAAACCATGTCACTGAGGGCTTTGTCTACACGGTTTATGCACACTTCCAGGGATGGTGACTCCACCACTGCCCTGGGCAGCCTGTTCCAATGCCTGTACACCCTCTGGGGAAAAAACTGTTCCTAATCACCAGTCTAAGCCTCCCCTGGCACAGTTAAAGGCCACTTTCTCTTGTCACTTGTTCCTGGGAGAAGAGAGCAGCCACCTCCTAGCTCCATGCTCCTTTCAGCTAATTGTAGAGAGTTATAAAGGCGCTCCTGAGCCTTCTCCAGACTGAACCCCCCAGGTCCCTCAGCCGTTCCCCATCACACTAGTGCTCCAGGCCCTTCACCAGCTCCACTGCCCTTCTCTGGAACCGCTCCAGCACCTCAATGTCTCTCTTGCAGTGAGGAGCCCAGAACCGAACACAGGATTCGAGGTGCAGCCTCACCAGTGCCGACCTAAAGCCCTGATTCCACTCCTTTTAACGCCTTTCAACCCCCATTTTTCTCTTCTCAACTCCTATCGCCGGCTGCGGACGTCCAGGCCTAACCTCGGGGGTCCCCTCCCTTTCTCCCGCTCAGCCGACCATTACCCACAGCAGCTCCGCCGGCCCCACAACGTCCCTGGGCCCCAGCCAGGGCACCCCGACCCACCGCACCTCTCCTCGGCCATCACGATCTCCTCAAACATATCATGGCCCAGCGCTGCAGCCGCCATTACACCGCCACTACACCGCCACCAACCACAGCCTCTGGGCATGCCGGGAAACGACGGCGAGCCGGAGAGGCGACGGCTACTCCAATGCGCAGGCGCACAAACCACCCCCCGCCCCCCCACCGCCGCCTAGCTCGGCGAAGACAGGGGGTGTGGCCTGAACATGCCCTGACCACGCCTCCTTGCGTCTGGCCCCGCCCCAGTGAACGGCGGCGCGGCGTCAGGGGGCGCCCGAGCGCCACCGCAGAGTCGGGGAAGGAGCCGCTGGTGGTGCTGGAGGGGATGCTCTTCCATCTACCCCTCCGGCTCCGGCACAAGCCAGTGTGGCGTTGTTCGGAGGTGGTTCTGAGCTTCAACTCGTGTGTTTTTGATGTATATACCCCAAAACGCATATATTTTTGATGTAAATACCTGAATCAAAATTCAGCGTGCTTTCCAGACGGCTTTGTTACACGTATTTGGTGTTACAGAGCCACACTGGTAACAGGAAGCGTTTATACTCATTTATAAGCACATATTTTCACATTAACTCACTGTTGTATTACATCCTTTAGTGAAAATGTGGGTTTAGGCGCACAGAAGCCAATCCCAGTAGGGGTACAGCAGGTCTGTTACCCTCCAAACCAAGCACAGAAGAGGATTTGAAAGCACAGCTTTAAAATCCAGAGGAGGGTCTAAAGGGAAAAACTACATTAGAGTGAAAGTAAAGTTATGCTGCTAAAGGTTTAGATAACTAGATACAACAATCACAGAATTCCAGACTAATTTGGATTGAAGTCCATCCAGTTCCAATCACCTGCCACGGGCAGGGAAGCCTTCCACTAGACCAGGTTGCTCCAAGCCCCATCCAACCTGGCCTTGAACACTGCCAGGGATGGGGCAGCCGCAGCTTCTCTGGGCAACCTGTGCAGTGCCTCACCACCCTCACAATAAAGAACTTCTTCCTTATATCTAACCTGAACTTCCCCTGTTTCAGTTTAAACCCATTACCCCTTGTCCTATCAATCCCAGTCCATTAAAAGTGCTCCACCACAGCAGGCTGTCCTGATTTATCTTGAGTGACTGTAGTGAGCTGGCCAATGTGTTTTCTGCAGTAAAGTGTAGCTATCACTGTATCTCACATAAAAACACTGAAGATTCTTTAGGTGTGAATACCAACCTGCTTTACAACCACACAATCACAAAGATATACTGTTCAATGAGGTCAATGGGAATATCAGGTGTCTCAAAGGTTTCCTCTAAGCTAATAGCTACAGCTTAAATCTTGCTTTGGATGTTAATGCAAAAAAAAAAAAAAAAGGAGTTCTTTGATCTCAGTAGACCATGGGATTGATGGAAAATACTGAAAATATGCCTTATGCTTCCCAAAAGGGGGGTTGGTTTCCATAACATTTTGGGGGAAAGAAAGTATAGCTTTTTCATTTATTGTTCTGTCAGGGTAGAAAAGAGTGTTCCCAAATTTTCCACGAACATCGTTTCAGTGCTTTCAGCAGAGGTGAAGTTGATATTATGAATAAAGGATTTATAGCTTTTTACACTTCTCCAATGTGGAAATGCAGATGCCCAGAATCTCCTTTCCTACAGTCTTCCCACTATTCTAACACCTTGTATTTCCACATCATAGCTTCTAACTGAGACTTCACAAGGGGACAGTTGACACCTGATCTTTAAAAACCTTTTAAGGCTGTAAAAATGTACTGTTGCAAATGAAAGCACTGCAATTGTCCTGCTGGCTTTGAGAAATGATGATCAGCTGGGAGGTATATGGTGAAAGCTGGAGGTGGTGTTTACATTCCCACAGAGCCAAAGGCAGTGGTGTGTCGAGGTTTTGCACACCAAGTTCCTGACCAAGTCAGGTGCCTGAAGATAGGGAAAGCATTTTCCAGTAATCCTTCCATCTCAAGCTGTGACCTTTCCAGACTTTATAAGCAAAGCAGCCAGGTTTCATCAGAACTTGGATGAGAAATCTCCAAGGAAAACTAAAGTGTTCCAGGAAGCGGTATGGGCAATTTAGCTCCTGGCATCTTCCCTCTGTCTGAATAAATATTGAACCAACCTCTAACTGTGCTGTTGCAGTAAGAAATATACTTCTGGGAGAAGATGGAAATCCAGAGTTGTCAGCAAACAGTCACTGGAGAGCTCAAGATGCTGTTTAAAAATGTAAGGTCACTCATCTTGGCGCTCCTGAGCAATATTTATGAACAATGATGTTACATCTACTGAAAAGATCTCTCGTTAAATTAAACAGTTTACCCTCTATTTGCTGTGTTTCCCATCAAAACAGTTTGGTTTCTCTTTAGCAGAAAATTAAACATAAATCTTTGTTAACCAAATATTAAAAGTACATATTTATTTTGTTTTCTGATTTTTACTTCTTAAAAAAAAAAAAGAAGTCTTGAAAGGTATCTAATATTCAAAGACAATATAGTGTCTGATCAAAACTGGGAATGAAAACCAGAAACTAGAATGTCCCAGGCCTGAAAACTTCAGGAATTAACCAACTTGCATGTGGCTGGTTGGCTGCATGCAAAGAGTTGTGGTCAATGGCTCAGTGTCCGGCTGGAGACCAGTAACGAGTGGTGTCCTCAGGGATCTGTGTTGGGACCTATCTTGTTCAACATCTTCATCGCTGACATGGACAGTGGGATTGAGTGCGCCCTCAGTAAGTTTGCCAATGACACCAAGCTGTGTGGTTCGGTTGATACGCTGGAGGGAAGGAATGCCATCCAGAGGGACCTTGACATGCTTGTGAGCTGGGCTGATGCCAACCTCATGAAGTTTAACCATGACAAGTGCAAGGTCCTACACCTGGGTCAGAGCAATCCCAGGCGCAGCTACTGGTTGGGCAGAGAAGAGATTCAGAGCAGCCCTGCAGAGAAGGACTTGGGGGTGCTGGTCGATAAGAAACTGAACATGAGCCGGCAGTGTGTGCTCACAGCTCAGAAAGCCAACCATATCCTGGGCTGCCTCAAAAGGAGCGTGACCAGCTGGTCGAAGGAGGTGATCCTGTCCTTCTGCTCTGCTCTCGTGAGACCTCACTTGGAGTACTGTGTGCAGTTCTGGTGTCCTCAACATAAAAAGGACATAGAACTGTAGAAACAAGTCCAGAGGAGGGCCACGAGGATGATCAGGGGACTGGAGCACCTCCTGTATGAAGATCGGCTGAGAAAGTTGGGGCTGTTCAGCCTGGAGAAAGAGAAGATTCGTGGAGACCTCATAGGAGCCTTCCAGTATCTGGGGGGGCCTATAAGAATGCTGGGGAAGGACTCTTCATTAGGGAATGTAGTGATAGGACAAGGGGTAATGGGTTAAACAGGGGAAGTTTAGGCTGAATATAAGGAGGAAATTCTTCCCTGTAAGGGTGGAGAGGCACTGGAATGGGTTGCCCAGGAAGCTGTGAATGCTCCATCCCTGGTGGTGTTCAAGGCCAGGCTGGACAGAGCCTTGGGTGACATGGTTTAGAGCGAGGTGTCCCTGCCCATGGTAGGGGGGTTGGAACTTGATAATCTTAAGCTCCTTTCCACCCCCAACTATTCTATGATTCTATGATTCTGACTTGAAAATCAGAACTACATCTCCCAGTACATGAGGAGCAGGAATGTGTGGCAGTGGCTCAGCTGAAAGGAGACTGGGAAACACCACAGGAGGTGTTTCCCAGCCAAGATATCTGCAATTCCTGTGACTCACAGAATTTCAAACAGAAACCAACATCTTTTTCAGGCAAAAAAACCCCACCAGTTTTCTCCCTGGCTGAGTGTGGTTCCCATTTGTAAAAGGAAGCAGCTTTCCATGTACAGGATTTTTTGCATTTTGCAGGTGAATTTTGCACAGCTGAAGAGAAATCAGAGAAAACACCCCTGGTAGGGATTTTTTTCCATCTCCCCAAGGAATAACCTCCTGTGAGCAGCTGGGGCTTAGTGCTATTTTCTGTGTCAGGCACCTTGAAGGCTGTGTGAATGGCATGGCAGGGTTTAATTACATAAATGGAATATGAAAGGGATATTGTATAGAATAGATGCAAATCCACAGTTGAGGATGTCTACAGGCAGCGTGTACCTGCCTCAATCTACAAGTACCTGAAAGGGGGTTGTAGTGAAGTGGGTGTTGGTCACTTCTCTGAAGTGACAAGTGACAGGATGAGAGGAAACTGCCTCAAGCTGTGCCAGGAGAGGTTTAGACTGGATATTAGGAAAAAGTCCTTCACCAAAAGGGTGGTCAAGCATTGGAACAGGTTGCCCGGGGAAGTGGTGAAGTCAGAATCCCAGGAGGTATTTAAAAGACGTGTAGATGTGGTGCTTTGGGTCATGGGTTTTTTTTGTGGTGGACTTGCCAGTGTTAGGTTGACAGTTGAACTAATGATCTTAAGGGTCTTTTCCAACCTAAATGATTCTATGAATCTATTCTATGATTGAATTAGGAAGAACAGAAGGACAGACACACTTAAAGCTGAACTCATTTGTTATATCAAGAGAATAAATGATTAGAACTAGATGGAGTGACCTTCACATATTGCAAGGTCAAAAATTAACAAGCTGTTTCCAAAACCCTCCTGGAACAGAGATACTTTTCTTAGACTTGCTGTATCACATGGAGCTCATCAGTAACTGGCAGCAGACAGACAAGCTTGAATTCCAGCCTTGGCCTTCACTGCCTAGCTTTGGGAAAACTCGTTTGTCTCCTGTTCTTGTCTGTTGTGGCTCAACTATGCCACCTTCACAGGGACTCCACATGGAATGGAGCCAGATGTCACAGTTTCCTAAAGCTCCTTCAAGCCTCTAGACTAAACGAGCGACAAGAGACTCAGCTGGTTTCTGTGTTGAAAATGATTTTCTTTTTATTGCAAATGTACACGACACTACTGATGATGCACAGAAATTTAAAAGGCTATTGTTTGCTAAAATTGCATTACAAAACTCCACAAAATCTGTTACAACTAAAAAATCCACCTTCAGGAGTATATAAATAGAATTTTGAGCATAAATAATAGTAACAAAATAAACAGATGTATGTATTCAATAAATTAATTATAAATATTGCATTGGCAATGAAGTGCTAGGTCAGATGAACACCAGTATTTCCAGTTGAGCTTGGTTTTCTTTTTATAGAAATCTCTATTATAAATGAACCTTTGGAAACAAGTAGAATCCCTGAACCCTTGTTTCACATTGCTTTTTGTTTTTTTCTTCGGTTATTCCTTTGTCAAGTTGTTTCAACAGAAGAACAGAACTGAAGACATCAGACATCCACGTTAGGTACTCCTAATTTCTTCTTGCAAGAAGAGCGGCCTGGCTGATGCGGTTCTGTGGCACTGAAGTCACTAAACTTGTCTCATCACTGATTCCCAAGGATGCAGAATCAAGCCTGGAAGGGACTTGAAAGAATTGCTAATGGATAAAGGTTAAACACAAAACCTATTTTGCAATTGATTTGACCTATACATCCTACATTTTCAGTCTTTCTCTCCATTTGCTAATGACATACATGCTTATATACAACAGGACCTTAATTAAACATTCTAATTTGAATGGCTCATTCCCTATCTGATGAACATAAATGCTAGTTCTGTGCACTATTCCAGACACACAATGAATTCTCACTAATGTTAATGAGAACTCTTTGCTGGATGGTGCTGATGCCACGATGAACATAAATTAGCCTATAAAAGAAATCAAAGATCCAGTTTTCCAACGTACCCTTTAGCAATAAGGGAAAGAAGAATCTTTTTCCCTTTCTTCCCTTATTTCCTAAGGGAAGAAAAAGCACAATATACAAGAAAAATTGTTTTCAATGGTATGCTTTCAATAGAAAGTTTTCCCAGCATATTCTCAGCAGCTTCTCAAGAAACAGCATTAAGTCTAGTTCATGCAACTGCATTTGCTAGATTTTCTTTAATCCTGTTTTGTTCCATATGTTTGTCTTTAAGGCCTCCAAAGATGAAAAGATTTTCTCCTATGAGCTATAAAAATAAGAGGTGAACACATGTAGTAATGAAGTTGATGGGAGAAAAGCTCTAGCTATTTTGTCGTCACCACAGTAATGGAGGGACTTTGACGAAGCTGCTGAGCTTTTCTTATTTTATCCTTCTTTTCCAGATAAAACTATGGCTAGGCAATTCTTTAGACTATGGAATAGCCTCTGGGCACTCATCTCTTGCAGGTACCACACATTGCAAGGAAAAGGCTGTCTCCATACTGAAATATACAAAAAAGTTGGACATATCACTACAGGAAAATCTAAAACCCCTGTGTTATTTCTTTAAAAACGTGTTTGTGTGTGATCAGAGTCATTTCTGAAAGCTGGGGCTCTTCACTGGTAACAGTTTGGAGGTGATACCAAAGGGGTCCATGCTGTCTGTTTCCAGAGGTGAAGAATACACTTCTGGTTCAAAGGCCTGACGGTAGTCACCATATTCACCAAAGTCTGTTGATTCCACAGGCACAGTGTTGATCATAGGTAAAAAGTGAGACAGTGGAAGGAAATCTTTCCCTTTGAACTGCTGTCTTTGCTTAGCACTACTCAAAGACACTGATATTCCATATTTTTTTGATCTATATACATTGTAGCCGTCTGGACGAATCTCCTCTTCAAAGGAACAGTCCTCTGTGGAATACCTGAGCTGAACAGCAAGGAGTAATGAGAGTTATAAATGCACTCACCAGACTCATTGCATTCAACCACAGCATAAACCTTTGATGCAACCAGCCCTTCTCCCTCTGCTTTCAGTGAGGGTGTCCTTCTGGCCTGTCATGCGTACCCCAATTTAGGGCACCTTGCAGACCCCACTGCCAGATCCATGCTGGTGAGCTGTTCACTGCCTCTCTGCCTGCCTGCTGCAAGGATGCAGGTGAGACCCATTTCACTGGTGATGGGCCACAGCCGCCAAGATGAAGTGCCCTGAGGTGGTCAGGCAGTTGGACTACATGACAGCTGTAGGTCCCTTCCAACTGAAATTATTCCACTCTACTGTACTCAAGCTTCCTACATTGCACACGACATGCATTTTGAATTACAAGGCCATTAAAATACCTAATCCCACACTCCTGCAGTTAATACATGTTCATCACACTAAATAAGCTTTGAATCTGGGTGTGGACTTCTTCACAGCTATGACACTTATCCTGCCCTGAGCGCAGAGAAAAAGTCTCAGCACTCATTTAGATAAAATGTCCTTAGTGGCTGACAGTACTTAAATGCAGTCATGAGACCTAACCCAACAATCCTCAGGTATAAACCTCCAGGCTCTGTTAAGGCCTGTGTAAGGGCTTCAGGATCAGGTCTGTAGAAAGGCAGTGCTGTCAAAGACAGCACTTATACAAGCAAACATGTCCAATCAGTACAAATTTGAAGGGTAAGATTCAGATTCAGTCTGTGTGTAACTAAAACCGTAATTGCCTTTCTTTCTATTCAGCATTTATTGAAATTACAGAAGACCAGTTAATGCAGTGTTATATTCTCATTACACCTTAGAACTATCAAATAAATCCAAGTTGTTAAGATTTTATATAGAAGAAGACATTTTCTTAGGTATGAATTTGTAGAATTACACTTGTGACGTTCTGTACAGATAGTACCTTAGGATTTTGTGTCAGAGCTTTCCAGATCCTTACACAAGCATTGTGTTTCTTACAACTCTGGTGCTATTCCAGGCTCAGCCACCACAGGTGATTGAACCTGTGCTCAGTCAATAAAAGTCAATTGCTGATTGTGTCTCAGTCTGCAGTGATAAAAGTGTCCTTACATGAATGCTCTGCCTGTCTGCATAGAGAACATACTTGTTGCTCTTCAGTCCTTCTCAAACACCCTCAATAATATGTAGTGCAATTGAGTGCATGCATTTGGTTATCTTTTAAAAACAGTTTTCAAATGTGTCAAATAATTTAAAAAAGGCATTTTCTCAAAATAAAATGATGAATACTTATCCTTCTACACCCGCTGTATCTCAGAAAAATGTGTGTATCTGATACAAATCTATGAATTGTTGGTTGAATAATTAGCTGTCTTTATGACAGCTCAGTCTCCCTAGCGAGGATGATGAAATAAAGAAGCTTCTTGAGCAAGTGCACTTTTCAAATAGCAGTTATTGATTGTGTTCCCCATGACTCAAATGTATCATTCACTTTTCATATCACTGGAATCGACTCTAGCATTATTTTTTAAAACAATTACCAAATGCACTTTAACTATTTCCACATTATGGTTTTGGTTGTTTGTTGTTTTGGTTTTATTTTTTTTTTTTTTACAGGAGGGGTTTACAGCATGTCAGTATCTCCAGATTTCCCTCTAAACTACTAGTTGCAGTACAACACACATTGAAAAAAAACAACTCTAGTCATCATTTTTCCAGTGTTATAAAAGCGGCGTGTTGCAGGAGTGAATAAGGTTGCCCAGTTTGGTCACCAAATGGAATATTTGCCTTGGTAGCAGAGAGGTGACAGCATGTGTCCACAACATATAAACGTGATGGCATGGTTACATGCCATTGTATTTTGAGGAAAAAAAGAAAAAAAACCCAAACCAAACCAAAACCCCTGCGATTAATACCCTGCACCAACAAACACAGTCCCAGTCAAGGCATATATGTCTTCAAAACAGTGTTAGACAAATGCTGGTTTTAAATTCTGGGACTCTTGAAGTCCAGATGGCCGCTCCGATGGGAGCAGGTTCCAGGCTCTGCTTTGTTTTCATTGATCATTTTGCTTTGGATATACATTAAAACATTAAGCTAATGATTGACCTGACATATAATCGGAACCTCTGCACCTCATCACTGTATTGATTGATTCTAGCCCAGAAAAGCAAGAAAATTCAGGGAGAAAGGCTTAGTTCTATGCTATATATGCATTCAAAACCATCACTATATCAGTACCACTTATTAAAGATGCTGGGAGTTTTGAGAATGTGCCAGAGAAATCAAAGCAGAATCAAACTGTATCTTTACTATAGCACAATAAGAAGCCATTGCTCTGTGAAAATCAGGCTTCCATAAAGCATTTAAACACAGACTGAACCTGAATCTTAGCCTTCAAATCCTAGAGCTGGCAACTCCTCGTGGCTTAAAAACCAGGAAACAAAAAAGTTTATATCGCTGATGAGGACTAGCTAATGTGTTGACATACCCAGGGGAAAAGAGTGACCTAACATCAGTGGATCGCTCAGCTCTTCAACCTCTCGGAGTCCCTCAGGTGTGCTGCTATCACAGGGGAGGAGAGTCCTTTCCCTCGACATCCCGTTTCTGCTTGGTATTACCTAAGAGATGGCAACTCCATCTTCTGGGATGTGTGAGCCTGACAGCCAGTTGGCTGCATCTCATTTCCACATGAGTAATCTTGGGGTTTTCCTTTTGGTTTTCGTTTTGCAGAATGACTGACCTGAACTATGAGAAGTTATTCAAATTCTGTGGTGTGACTTAGTCTACTCCTTCAACAGGAACGCAGTCACTTTTTGGGATATAAATGCAGTTTTGCCCTGGTCTGTATTTTCAGTCTATTTTGGCAGGAAGCATGCAGTACAGACTTTGCTTTCTAACTGATATTTCCTTGCTGCCTTCTAACAATCCTCATGGCGCTATCAGTGACAAGAACCACCGGTCCCATAGAAAAAAGGGAAGGGGGGGACGACGACCTGTAAGCTTTGTTAACCCGTTTTACTAACCGCACAATAAGAAAACCACGCCAGCCGTTTGGTCACGCCTGCCGTTTCAAGCGCGGCGACCTGGATAGAAATCTCCCTCGGGGAAGGCGAACCCGGGACAGAGCCGTCGGGAGCCGGGGAACGAGTCCGGGGTGGGAATCGCAGCTCACCTGCCCGTGCAGCCGCCCCGCCTCGTCCATGCAGAGGTAACGGGAGCTTCGCACTCCTTTGATGGCCACGGTACGCACGGCCACTGCGCGGATCTCCAGCAGACCTGCGGGGCAGAGGGAAGAGAGGCTTCAGCTCCGCCGCCCCGTCCCGTCCCGCTCCGTCCCGCTCCGGTGCCACCGCTACCGGTACTCACTCTGAGGGCTCTGGCTACCGGCGGCATCTACCCGGCCGTCGCCTCCGATCCGCAGGAAGCAGCTGAAGAGCCCGTGCTTGCTGGCGGTGTAGAGGTGCCGCAGCCGGATCGGCTCCCCCCAACCGTAGTTAACGTGCGGGCCGGCGTCGGGCAGCGGTAGCGGCACCGCGGTGGCGGCGGCGGCGGCTAGACCCAGCAGCGCCAGGGCGGCGGTGCGCGGCCCCATGTCGCGGCTGGGGAGTGCGAAGAAGCGCGAAGCGGCAGGGAGCGGAGCGGCAGGAAGCGTCGCTACCTTGCCGTGCCTGCGACTCGGGGATGAAGCGTAGGTGAAGCCAGCCCCCCGGCCTTTTATAGCTCTCCGTTATCAGCCCGATCGATTCGGCTGCATCCAGCTCCGATACAGAACCCATTTCACAGAGGGAATTGGTCGGATAGGTCACTCCCCCCGAAAACATTGATCGGATGACATCATTTCGCAGGGGACACCCTGAAGTCGCTCCTTCCTCATTCGCACCTTCAAGATTTCCACCCACTTCGAGCCCCCGGCAGCGCCTCTCTGTGCTGTCCCGGCTGCCACGAGGGGACGGGGTGGGATAGGACGGGACGGGATGGAATGGGACCAGGGACACTGTCGGTCCCGCAGCCCCAGGGAAGCGGAACGGGGATGTGCGTGTGTAAATCGAAACCCGTGTGTAAATCCAGACCCATGTGTAAATCCGACGCTGGGAGGGGGGAGTCTGTTCTCGCCCTTCTCTTGCCTTAGCTCCTTGCCCTCCTTTGTTTCCCTTTTTAGAAATTCGCCTTCAGGAAATGAGTTTTAAACCTCGGGTCACCTCCCAGGGCAGGGGCTGTGAATGCGCGGCACCACCGGTCCTCGTTACCGGCAGCCGGTGGGGCACTCGGCAAGGCCTGGTATGGTACGGCCCTTGCACGGCTCCTCTGGGAGGGCAGGCACTGCTTCCCGGGCTTTATCGACGACCGGTCATCCCCGGCTGTGTCACTAGATGGAGCCTGGTACCTAGGCTGCGGGGCTGGCCTGGACCCGGAGGAGCTGCTGCCCGGGGGCTCTGCACCTCTTTGAAAGGGCTGCCCAGGGCAGTGGTGGAGTCACCGCCCCTGGAAGTGTTCACAAACCGTGTAGACAAGGCCCTCATTGACATGGGTTAGTGGTGGCCTTGGCAGTGCAGGGGAATGGTTGGGCTCGGTGAGCTTAAAGATCTTTTCCAACCTGGTTGATTCTGTGATTCCATAATCCTATGACTCCTGCTCCTGTACAGAAAGATTAGGGAGGGGGGAAGTGTGTAGGAAAGCTGCATTGCTGTCAGGCAGCATCAATTGATCTATCTGATATTTTTTACTGGTCTGCAAGTAGACTTTTTCCATACAGGTTCCTCTCCAGGATGTCACTCAATGATGGAAAAAAGCAGGTAACACACATTTTGGCTTGTTCCATGCTTTTTGCACCTCAGAGGGATTGCTGCTGACTTTCCTGCTGCGATCCAAACTGAGCATTAAAGAGATTTTATCAGATCTCAATAAATAATAATTTCATAAAAAAAAGAAATCCCTCCTCCACAGTACATATTAAATACCCTATTGCCCCCAGCAACAATTCTGAATCAGCAGTTTCAGTCAGTTTCCACAGACTGTTCTTATATTTTGCTACCTATTACTTCCATCCTTTTGTGGGTACACATACATCTCCTTCCTGTAAACACTCACAGAAATAATTTTTCTTTCTGAGCAATCTTAGCTCAGTGAGGCTGTGACAAGGTCACCCCAAAATAAAGAGTCCTGGAGGCTGATGGCCTGCTTTTGTATAAATGCTTACATTTACCATGTGGAGCTTATGGTGCTGAATTTAATGACATCAATCAACCAGAGCTGGAATGATCAGGGTCTTGTATCACAAGATGCATCCTGGAGAGAGGCATTGTATGTCACCAGCCGTTTCAAAAGCAAATACTGATTTTTATTTCCTCTCTGAGGTTTTGATGGTCAGCTTGAGACACCTAAAAAGGAGCCTTCTCTGCATGATTGTAATTAATAAAGGTCAGGAGCACTTCACTTTTGGGTGTCTCATGCTGCATCCTCCAAACCAGGCTCTGGTTTGGGAAACTCTGGCCTTTCAAACATTGCAGAAGCTCACAATATTAAAAACCCAGTAAATAATACGAAGGCATCCAAGACCCTATTTTTTTTCTCCTGTGCAGAATTCTGCAGTCTTATTACATGGCTGCTACAAAGGCAGTTCACTGCCCTGCAACCGTGGGCCCCACAGCAGTTGTGCATGTAACTCATCCTGGCTACATATGCATTCTTCAAGATATTGAGCACCCACCACACACAGAGGTTATGCTCTGAAATAAATCTGAAAGGTCTTTTTAGCTCCTTTTGTGGTGCATCTCACTGAATAGATGCTATTTTATGATTGATCTTTGTGCTGTACTATACTGTGAATAATATTCACCATCATACATATTCATTTTTTCTATGATTTTATGATTTTGTTTCACAAGAAGACATATATGTTTCCATCAGTAAGGAACTGATGCTTGCAACTTGTTTATTCATTTGGGCAGCATTATTATTCCTTTGTGAAGGTAAAATAGAGGCAGAAAAAGCAAATCATTTGCACGAAGTGATATTTAAAATCAATGAGAAAGCTGGGTATATGAGAGAATTTCCTGACAATTGATGGAGAGATATCAAAAGTTGCATTCATTGTTGCTATTGCTGATATTACATGGACTAATGTTTAAAGGTTCATATAAAATCAAAGCAAAATGAAAATTAAGCACTTACTTAACTAATTTTTTGGAATAACCTATCTTGTTATAGGAAGTTTTCAATCGAAATCACTTGTCCAATTTCCTTTGCAGTTAGTGACAGAGGTAAATACCTCCAAGTACTTAATCTGGACTGGATAGTACCAATCCTATCTCAAAAGAGCTGTTTAAGAGATATGGGTTAAATAATCCCTGGAAGTATGCATTTCTTTAACTGGCTCTGGGAACAAAAGCCTAGATGATTAATTCAGATTAAGTACCTTTTCCTTATCTAGAGATAAATAAGTTAATGAATCTCACTGTTTTCAAGATGTAAGAGTTTTGACATATGATTTTCATTTTAGTTCCTTTCTGTGTCAGTGAACTTTCTCATTTATTTAATCTTTTTATCAAAGTTCAATAGAAAGACACATGTCTTGGCATGTTCCTACAAATGTATTTGCAGAACAAATATATATAGGGTAAATCACACCATCGTTTCCAGAGCTGGACCTGCTCCCTCTATAAACAAAGCCTGCAACAAGGAAACCTGGTAGCATAGGACTTCTTGCTTTTGTGAGGATGGGAAGGGGGGGAGAAGGTTTATAGAACAAAAATACCTCCTGACTAAACAGTACACAACTGGAAAAGCATTTTCACCTGTTGTAATGAATCATTTATTTTCACTGCACTTTTCAATGTCCCAGTGTCATTTCTTCAGAACAGGAACATCAACTTTCTGTTACACTGAGCTGGATGTGTTTTGGATAAACATAACTACCTATATTTAAAAGTCAAACATCCAGAGATCCTGGAACATGCCCAAAAGATAACAGAGGGCTTGTGCCTCACTGGGCAATAACATCCTGGGAACCAGCAGAAATGAAAGTAAGGAAGTTGCCACAAAAAGGATCAGAAATAAGGCATGAAGCCACCCATAAGGAGAAGATGGTCATATGTTACCTTGTGGTGGAGATCAAAGACAAAATTACATAGGTAAGTCACTCAAAGCTGAATGAGGGTTAAAATGTGATGAACTGGATGTGCTCAGGATGAAGCAACATCTGCTCAGTAATAGAATAACTTCAGAATATCATGGTGAAAACTTTCTACTATATAAGTCACTGCAGAAAGAGGAAAATAGCACAGAAACTTTAAAGATATTCTGTATCTTTGGGATGTCCTTCAGATTTAGGAGTACATATAACATGATAGTGATCCAGTAGTGCTTTTGAGGAGAGACTTGTGTTTCCTGCTCTTCTCTGAAGTCAGAAGTGACAGAATTACAGAGGCTGTAAATACCCTGAGGGAAGCAAGGCCCCAAGCAGAGCTGGAGATGCAGTCCTTTAGTTTCTGATTTCTGCTTTAGTTCCTGCATGTCATCCCAGAAGTGACAGCAGAAAGAAAGCCTTTATTTTCCCTGTGGCAGAGGGCCAGCAGAACTGTCCAATCCTTTCTTTTGCTTCTGCTAAGGAAGAGTATGTCAGGCAGATGAGGGAAGGCAGAAGTGAAGACATAGTACACTGTGATATGCAGTTATTTGAGCACAAGGTTGTTCTATAAAGAGCCTTATCAGCACAGCACTAGTTAAAAAAACCTGCCTAAGAAGGAGAGGTTACTCCACCATATGTCAAGGACTGCTCTGTTTCCCAGCTGCTTCTGCAATCCAAGAGGCATAAAGGTGACAATATTTCTCCCTGGGCTGTGAATGAGTGCAGAATTGAGATTCCACAGCTCCCGCTGCGTGCACCCACTGACAGGATGTCATACAACAGAACAAGCATTCACAGAGGCTCTCCACAGCTATCGCAAGTGTAATAGTCCTCAGTGAATTTGTAGGATCCAAATACATTGGATACTTGAAGATTTTTTAAATGATCAACTTCCGGAGAGGTTGATCCTCTTCTCAATCTGCTCTGCTAAAGAAGGTCAATGTGCTTGAGAGAGCGTTGCTATTGTAGTTTGTAGTTGCATGTGTAATTACTAGTTCTTTCCAATGAACAGACAACTAATTTCAAATATCTCTCACCATTCTGTTGTCTAATGCTTTCTTAACTATTGCTATCAGTTCATGCATTCCCAAGAGCAATACTTAGCCTGGAATTGACTTGCAGCTTTCATGGTCAAATGATACGTTATGATTAAGTCTACTCTAAAGCTCACAAAAGTCCTGTCAGTTTCAAAAGGCCTAAATGCATTTTTTCCTCACTGGAAGTTATTTCATTCTTCAGACATACTTGATTCACACCATCTTTTCTGTGTGCTAGGAAATCCTTTATCATCCTGGTATAGAAGAAGCTTATTTATTTTCTGGGAAGGTATTTGGTACAATAGGTCTGCAGCACCTTGTTTATACTAAACCAACAGAAGCTGGTTTTTTCCCATTACTTTCTGAGCAAAACTGCATCCTGCAGCAGAAATTAATAATTGCAAGTTTCTTTGCCAGTAGCTTTCATTTTCATTTCAAGTTTGACCTAGGGAGTAATGCCCCTGGACTTTGTTTCTGCAATGTGCTCGTGAAAACCATGAGGAAAGCTTTTTCAGGCAAGAGTAATTCTAGATCACCAGCTTCTCAATCAAAAGTGGTATCCATGGAGCATTTAGCACTACTCTTTTCTTGTCAGTCATTAAATAATGTTGCTTTTATGACAAGTTCCAACTCCACTAGAAATATTTTGGCTTTAACAGAGAATGGGCCAGTAGAAGAAGAAGATATACCACAAAAAGAAGGAAATAGAAACCAAACGTAACCCTGGAGCAATTTCGCTGAATTATATCTGGGATGAATTTGCTCCATAAAGGTCTAACTTCATGTTGGTGGTATAAAACCGTGTTCTTGGTTAGCAAGCTCACAAGGTGGTGATTTTTTTTGGAAGTCAGAAGGACATGATTATAACTCTGCTTAAATGCAGATGTTTTGTCAAAGCACCTATGAAAATAAACCTCTTTTGTTTCATAATTTTTACCACAGAGTCTCTTAGTCATAAAGATGTTAATAAATTATATCCCTCATAGTATCTGGTATGCTTATGGCCATCTAAAAGGTATTTTAGCTAGAATCAGTCAGGCTTGGTTAAGAACTTATGGGACAACTGCTGTGGCTTACTGATGTTGAGGATCAGACTGCCCTATAGTTGTCCCTAATAGCCCATAAAGGTAAGATGCCTTTGGGATGTTCATCTGAGCCTTTACAACACAGAATTTACACACTGCAGCTCTGTCAGGAGGGTGATCCCATACAACTGAGTGATAGTGGAGCAGACATATATATGTATAAGCAGTTGTACTAACAAAGAGCCTGATTTTCTCATAGCTGCTGTCACCTCAAAGTACTTATTGTGCTTGCCTTTGTGCTTTCTTGAGGGAGGTTCTGAACTGCCTCAGAGCAAGAGACCTCCATTCTTTTTTTGCTTTTAAACAAAGTGTGATAAAAGGTGTGGGAGATTTCTAGTCCAGATATGGTTTGATAAAGCTGGCACTGCTTTTTATGTATGAGAATCCTATGTTTGCCAATATATATGTAAGATCTGCAGATACTTGGCACAGCAAGTCCCTTGGAGGACAGAGGAGGAGAAGTGCC